TGCTGGGGTTGAACGTTAGCCCCAGGGTGGTTCCCTCTCTTCCACAGATGTCCAGTAATTCCTGAAGTTCCTCCAAGGACCCCGCCATAAGTACCACGTCATCTGCATAAATCAAGGCAGGGATCCTCTGATCCACTTGCCTCCCCTCTTCACCGTAGCACATCCTGAAACCCAAGCGACTGTCCTCCAGTGCTCTCTCCAGTCCTGCAATGTACAACATAAACAGAAGTGGTGAAAGCGGGCACCCCTGTCTTAGTCCTTTTGTGGCCTTTATGGGCTCGGTGAACTCTGCCCCCCACTGAACCACTACGCTGTTGTCTCTGTATATCTGTTGGAGCAGGTCCCTCCATTCCACCGGTATTCCCAACTCCTCCAATACCCTCCAGAGCAGCGAATGGTTCACAGAGTCATAAGCCTTGGAGATGTCCAAGAAACCGAGGTATAGGGGCCTCTGCTCGTGGTTGGCGATCTCCATAGCCTGAGTGATTATGAACAGGTTGTCCTCCAGCCTCCTTCCCTTGCGAAATCCGTTTTGGAGTTCCCCGAGTATGCCCTCATGCTCAGCCCAGCTCTGTAGGCGCTCCTTCAGTACATGCATGAAAATCCGGTAGAGCACCGAGGTCACTGTTATCGGACGGTGGTTTTTCAGGATGAGCTTGTCTCCTTTCCCCTTGTATAGCATCCTGATCCGGGATCTTTTCCAGTCCTCCGGTATGTCACCTGTTTCCATCACACAGGAGAGACCCTCTTGGAGCCGTTCCCTGGACTTTCCTCCCATTTTCTTCAGAAGGCCTGCTGGAATGTCATCTAGACCCGTTGCCGTATGACCATCCATGCGTTGCATGGCCCTGTTCAACTCGCCCTGGGATATAGCTCGGCGCTGTTGGGTACTTCTCGTGCTGTCCCTCAGGGGGTCACTCTGTCTTACTGCATCTGGTTGTTCGAAGCTCTCCGTCATTGCCAGAGCGATGTGCCGGATACATTCCTGTCCAGTCAGGACTACTCCGCTTGTGGCATCCCTTATTGTTGTCGGGTTAGGCTCTGCCCATCTCTCTTCGCCCCTGACATGTTGCCAGAACTTTCTTGGGGCATCTCTGCCACTGCTTCGCAATTCCTCAAGCAGTTGTCTGTCCACCTTCTTCATCTTTCTTTGCACCATAGTCGAGAACTCAATCTTTTTTTCCTGGTATTCTTCCCATGCTTTGAGAATATCCTCTCTCTGTGCCCTCATTTTGACTGCTTCACCGTGCTTCCTGGATGCTGCTCTCCTCCGGTTTCTTGCCTCTTCCACTTCTGTGTCCCACCATCTCTTTCTCTTTTGTCTCCGTTTTCGGTGTCCACTCCTTATTCCCTTGACCTTTGTAATCCACTTGCACATCCAACTCACCACGTCTGTGTACTGTCGTATGGGTTCATCCTCCGCCTCCTTTTCCAGCTCCTCCACCACTCTCTCCATTTCCCTACTGGTTAGCCCCTTGGGTGTCCTTGGCATCGGTGACTGTCTTAATTTGGTTGCCCCAAACTCCAATGTCAGTCGGCGGTGATCACTTCCAAGACTCGCTCCGCCAGTCTCGTCTATTGTCATCTCTCTTAGGTTTTCATATAAAGTTGGAGACATGAGACAGTAGTCTATGCATGAGGAACGTTCTCGAACTGCCCATGTGATCTTCCCTTTACTTTTTTCTGTCCCGTTCACCATCACTAGTCCCATTTTTTCCATCCAGCATAGGAGTTCCCGACCCATCTTATCTGTCCTCTCATCCAGTTCCTCTATATGCGCGTTGAAGTCTCCAAGTATGATGATGGGTAAGTTCAGTTCTTCCACGTCCTTCTGTAGACAGGCCAGTTGTGCCTTGTTTGCTTCCTCGGATTTGTTTCCAGTCCAGAGGTACACTATTCCGATTGCCACCTTCTTCTTCCCTATCTTCCCTGTCATCCACAGGTGCTCCACACAGCTTTCCCTTTGCCTTTCCCATTCGCCTTTAGCCGTCCCCAGAAAGCCCACACCTCCCCCTTTTCGCTCCCCACCTCTTCTGTTCTGGCCCTGCCAAGTGAATTTCTCATGTGCTGGTGGTACTTCCGAATTCCTCAGGTGGGTTTCCACCAGTCCCACCCCCACAAGACTCTCCTCTTCCATTGAAGCGTACAGCTCCTCCCATTTCGCTGCTTTTCTCCCTCCTTGCATGTTCAGGAAAGCCAGAGTTTGTCGCGTTCTCCTCTGTCCCCTGCGTGTTCTCTTTCTTGCCTTTTTTGGCTGCATCCTTATCTCTACCGTTTCCTTTGGTTGTGGATTTTCCACCCCCGCCCCGTCCATCCAGCTGTCCGCATCTGTCAACTCCTCACAAGCTAACTTTTTTTCCTCTTGTAATATGGGGGACGTATTCTCCGAGTCGTTGTGTTTTCTTTTTTCCCGCATGGTTCGTCTTGGGTTTTGTCTGTGTGCCTCTTGTAGCTTTTCTCCTCTCACTGCCATGCCCTTCGCTTTTCCCCTGTGCCCTCTCAATATTGTCTCCCCTGTTGCTGGTGCATCCGTTGGAGCTGTTCCTCGATCTTCTGCAACCTGTGGTGCCATCCTTGTTTCCTGATGTTTCTTCCCTGCGTCCTTGTTTGTGATGCCATACCCTTGTTGACTGGCATTGAGCCTAAAAAAGCCTCAATCTTGATGCCTAGGCTTCGTCCCATCTCTTCTGCTCCCTCACCATTGTGAGTGTCTCCCTGGTCCTCACCAGCAGGTATGTTGACATCCACAAACTCCACTCTAGGGCCCAACCGCTGTGTCATTTCTTTCGTGAGCGTGTTCATTTGTATGCTTTTTTCTTTTGTTGGGCCTACATTACTTTCTACTGGAACTGCACATACCACATACTGATGTTCCGGTGACATCTGAACCCACCTCTTCAGTTGTTCTTCCAGTTCATTTATGGCACTCTGTGCTGTCACTTCTCCCCGCATATCCATACTCCCTGCATGGATGACAACCATTCCTGTTCCTGCTTGCCATATTCTGTGATCCCTTTCCGCCCGAGCCATCGTTTCTTTCAGCTGGGCCCCGGGTTTAGTTGCAAAGTAGACCCGCTTGTCATAGTCGACTGCCTTGAGTACCTTACTATGACGTACGGCGCAGTGTTGGCTGCGCCAACACGCGGTATTGACTGCGCTGTTCTCTGCGCCGCACATCGGCCGCTAGAATTAGCAGATTTCGGAGACTTGAGGCATCTCAAACTTTGTTTACCAGTTTAACAAACTTTTAGGTTTAATTACGTCGTAAAACTTGACGTGTAGTCTTTCTAGGTGATACTAAAGAGAACTGCGTTGTTTTTTCAGCATCGAAAATGAAGCGGAGTTGCCCTTTAAGTTCCGTGGTGTGGGGATGGTGGTACAAATCCTGATTATAAGCAGAAACAGCGTGGTTGATGTGAGATACGTTCTTCCAGGATCCCATCAAAGCTTCTGCTTGTTGCCAGGGTGGCCCTGTGTGAGGATGGCGATAAGAATCCCGATTATAATCTGAAACAGCACGGTGGATGAGAGATACGTTTATTGCCAGAGCGACCCCAAGGCATGTGGATGGCAGTTTGTGAGCTTACTTTCCCACAAACCGCCTGGGGAACTGATCACTGCAATAAAGGAGCTATCTCAATGAAAGACTGGGCTGAACATGATGTTTAGACCTCAAAATGAGGTGTAAGCGACACTGAATATGCATGAGGTGAGCAAGTAAAATGTTAAGCTCATTTCAGAACAATGGTCGACTTTCGGCATGCCGCCAGCACTACGTCTTCTTGAATGAAAACGACCCTTAAAGTGTAATTGTATGCATATGTGTTTAGAATGCAAAAGGGCAAAATGGCGCCTGACACCTCTGCTGTAATGGGCAAATTAGCGAGTGCAGTACAACTGCAATTTTTGTTTTGTAGTGTGAATTTTTGTACACAGTGGGATACATACAGCTGATTTCAAAGACCTCGAGAAGCCATGAACAAGGCTATTACGCAATGAAAGGTAGAATCACGACAACAACATGACACTGGAGGTTAAAGGTGTACTCCGCCGATTTCTTCATGGTCCCCGATTTGCTTTAAATTTTGCTAAACTCGCCAAACAACATCGCCAAAATAGTATCCCAAATATTAGGTCAAAATAATTTTTTTGACGAAGTTATTGAATTTACAATTTTGGTCCTCACCGTGTTTTTCAAACTGAAAGTCTCTACTGGCAACAATGAAAAAGTGACGTCATTGGAAGTGCAGGGGTTCACTCTTTGGACTGTAGAATTTGTTCCCAACTGATTTGAAGCAGTTTCATGGTGTCAAATGAATGCCTTGGAAGCTCGCTCCAGTCCCCGCGCTCCAGCACGGAACAAATAATTGGCATATTCTATTTTTTAGACTACTCGCCCGACTGGCAAGCTGAACTTCCACTGACGTCACGGCCCTGAAAAGGGCGGGTATATTTGAATGTCTGTTTTTGCATCATTTTCATTTGCCGATTTCGCAATAACTATTATGAATTTCACGATATTAAATAGCATTCCAGAAAGGGTAAAGGCCTGGGAGTCAGAAAATATAGTTAGTTGAGGTAGCTCAAAAATCGGCGGAGTACACCTTTAAGCGTGTATGAAGTCGGGAATCCGATTTTGCAGTATGTGAATGGTCCTTAAAGGGCCGCTCTGTTTCTGGGGTATGGCAAACAGAGTCCAAAGTTCTAGCCACTTTCAGATGAGAACATGTCCTAGGGGGACATTAGTTCACGGTCAATTCCATTATAAAGGCTGAACACCGGAGATCTCTTCAGCCTCATCCTCGTCGTCAGTTTCGTCGTCGTCTCCACTCTCGTCCTCCATGTCGCTTGCATCGAGGGGTTAGATGACTGGCTCGAGGTTCGACTCTGGGACATCACATTCTCGAAACTTCGCCTCCATTTTTTTCACATGCTCTACACAGTCATGCCAATGGACAGCTGTTACGTTGTCCACTGCTTCCCTCAAGAGCCGCTCGGCGTCATTGTTGCTTGAATGTGATGTTCTTGGAGGCGACCTCCCGCTTGACTCGTGCCCATATCAACTCTATGGGATTTAGTTCGCAGTGGTACGGTGGGAGCCTCAACACTGTGTCCGGCGTCCGTAGCCATGACGTCAACTTTGTACTTTGTGTAGCGATATCCTTAACCGTTGCCACAATGCTCAGAAGGTCTTCTTTCTTCATTGTGGCAGTCCAGTCTAGGTTCCCGGAAGAGAGCCACTGCTGGATCTCACCCTTCTTTGTTGCAGTTGTGGGAACAGCTTCAGCCTTTCTGCTGTGGTATGGCGCGTTGTCTATAACAATTACGCTGTTAGACTTGATGTGGTCCAGCAGATGAAGAAACCATGCTTCGAACCTGTTCGAGTCCATTTCATCGTGGTAGTCCCCCTTCTTCCCACGGAACACGTCCAGGCAGCCGGACACGAAGCCAGTGTCACTACCTGCGTGGGTGACAATCACTCTTTCACCTTTTCCAGAAGAAACCTTTAGCCCGGTCGTCAGTCCAGACATGAAGGCTTGCCTTGCTGACTTTATGGTGCTGTCAGTCCACACCTTGTCAACCGTAAGGCCGGCGTTCACCCAAGTCTCGTCCTGGAAGTAGATCTTGCGGTTCTGGGCTCTGTGCTTTCTGATTTCCCTCAAATACCGCCGCCTCCACTCGGCGATGTCCTCTCTCTCAATCAGGAAGGAGTTGCGATTCCGTTTCTGTTTCTCGAAACCCATGTCCTTCAGCAGGCGATACAGGGTAGACCCGGAACAGGACGGCAGCACTTCGTCTTCTTGGAAACGAGCGGCGATTTTCTTCAACGTTAGGATCTCCCCCCGACAGAAGAAATTGTGCAGGCAGCTTCTCACGGCCGTCAAAGTGCACGCGTCGTGATTTGAAATCCTCTTCCTTTTCTCGGCGAATTTCGGGCGCTTCTTTGAAGGAGATTTCACAGCTCCGTTGGCACGTTTGAAGCCACGCTTGATCTCGTAGACCGAGCTAACGCTGATCCCCGTTGCGGAGGCAGTCAGGTTGATGACTTCCACCACATTTTTTTCTTGGTACTGCCGCCGTATCCAAGAATAAACGTTCAAAACACACTGCCTTGTCTAGCTCGACAGGACATTTCCACTTGCGTGACGTTTGTAGTACACCCGAGGGGAAACGTCTTCAGGAAGGAGTGCTGACATCACACACCGATCAGCCAGAGCTGTTGGAGTCGCCATTTTGGAAGGCGAGCAACAGCGGCTGGCCGGCTGGCTACGAACATCGATCCTCAGATCTTGTGAGGCGTTGAATTACGTGAATACACGCGTATACTAAGGAGGTGTATTATTTATCCTAATGAGAATAACACATTTATCTAAGCTTAAATAACGCTAGCATTCCAGAGAGCAAACTTTTGTCGGAACTACTTCGCAGAACGGAATAATATGTGCGACGGCATGCGACCAATAAGCATGCGACGAGAGGGACACACCCACTTTTTTCTTAAGGTGAAAACGGGTATAGAATACACGACAGTCTAGCTTTCGATCTAATAAAACCTAAAGGACAGAGCGCGCGCAAGCCTGCAAGGAATCTTTCTAGAATTAACCATCCATCTCACACGTGACACGCGGGAGAGATCTACGGTCACGTTGGCCACAACATCGTTTAAACGTTTTATGACTAGGCTTCACCAATATTGCAATGTGCCCCTCCATAAAAAAATTGTTTCACCTTATGATGTACCGCAGGAAAGGCTACAAGCGCGAGCTCCTCGGCGGCACAAGCTCTCGTGTAGTAGGGGCAGCTGCCTACGCTGTGAGCACGGGCGGATTTAGAGGGGGGCCCGGATGTCCTGACCCTCCCCCCCCCCCCCCCCACCCCCCCTCAGGAAATTCCTGTATCCGCAACTGGCTGTGAGCTCGCGCTTCTAGCCTTCGTTGCGGTACAACATAAGGTGAAACGGAGTGCCTGTTTCAAATTTCAACAGCCGGCGTATAGCGCCTCCGTCTACGTGACGTGAAGGAAGCAACCGGAGCGACTTTGCAAACTTTGCAAACAGATCAGTCTACAACCTTGGCGGTAACAAAGTAGGGTGCGGCAGAACCTGAACCTGCGCCGCCTGTGAGCGTTAATAGATCCGCCGCCATGGAGGGCCGCACAACGCATAAAAAATTAAAGACACTTAAAAAAAAAAAATCCGGTTGCCTGAGATTGTTTGTATTGGGCGTTTTTAGATATGATCAAACGACCATGTCCGGTCGACATTTTAGAACGCAGCTCTTAGGCGCCCTTTTCCGGCTTGAGCGGCGTCGGCGTAACCGAGCGGTGCATTATAGGTAAATTTCCCCGCTGAATCTAGCGGAAAAATTTCCCCGCTAAATCTAGCAGAAAAATTTCCCCGCTAAATATGGCGGAAAAATTTTCCGCTAAATCTAGCGGAAAAATTTCCCCGCTAAATCTAGCGGAAAAATTTCCCGGCTAAATCTAGCGGAAAAATTTCCCCGCTAAATTTAGCGTAAATTTTCGCCGCTAGATTTAGTGGAAAATTTTCCCCGTTAAATTTAGCGGAAAATTTCCCCGCTAAATCTAGCGGAAAAATTTTCCCACTAAATCTAGCGGAAAAATTTCCCCGCTGAATCTAGCGGAAGAATTTCCCCGCTAAATCTAGCGAAAATATTTCCCCGCTAGATCTAGCGGGAAATTTTTCCCGCTAAATCTAGCAGAAAATTTTCCCCGCTAAATTTAGCGGGTAATTTTTCCGCTAGATTTCGCGGGAAATTTCTTTGGGGGGTCACGTGACACCCCAGGTCACGTGACCCCCCCCCCCGAAGTCACGTGACCCGCAAAATCACGTGACCCCCCCCACCCCCGCCGAGGTCACGTGACCACACCCCAGGTCACGTGATCCCCCCCCCCCTCCCCCCGAGAAGAGGTGACCCTCAGTACCCTTCCCTCCTCCTCCTCAAGAGCTGCGCTCTAATTCGGTGTTACAGGGAGTTGTAAACGGCTTTCATTTTTTTTACCAAAATATGTTTTATTTGTTGTATAAGCGCAAAAATACATATATTCAAACATTTCTTGCGGAAACAAAATTTTCTTGAGGAAAAAGAAATCACAAAGTCACTATCGGTATACGGGCACGTTTTTGCGACGCGTGGAACCGTCCTTTTGGGTATTTATTGAAGAAAAACTGTTGTCATCTTAAAGGGACACTGACACCCCCCAAAAATTTTTTTTTATTTTTTGCCAGGCGCTTTATTATGGTGTCGGAGGACTACCCAATTAATATTTTGCAATAGAGTAGCGTATTTCTTTAATAAAGCCAAAAGACGCAACTGCTCGAAACCGAAACCGAAACCCGACGGAGGTCGGAGAAGTGGAGAGAAGAGAGTGACTGGCGGAAGTCACGTGGCTACACCCGACCGTGCGTTTTTTTTTCTCCTCTCCGGTAGCAGACGACACGACATGCGGCGTGCGATGCGGCGTGTGATGCGGCGTGCGGGAACTGCTTACCGTGCGATTCTTTTGCAGTTATGTTTGTTCCGCTCGTTGTTATGTACTCGAAGATGAGTTGTTTTGTACATTGAGGAGTTAGAGATGAGTAGTGAGTGCCCGTGGTGAATTTCCATGATCGGCTCCGAAAAGAATAAACCCAAGATGTTGCGTGAAGAGCTGGCTCACATGTCCTGCATCCGAAAAAAAGTGGCATTGTCGAAAGATCAACGGAATCGGGACCAATGGCTGGCTGCAATTCCTGTAGAACATTTACGGGCACCTCGGAAAGCGGACGCTACCTGATTTATATGCTCCTTGCATTTTGTGGAAAGTGATTACATTGAGTTCGCAGGTGTCAAAACGGAAATCCCATACCGTTTAATTCAGCGAAGTATCGTCCACAACATTTGTTTGTTATTTTTTGTTTGTTTCTTCAGTGATGATTGTAAAAAAAAAAAAAAGAAAAAGATATGTGAACATCAAAAATTGCTTGCAAAAAAAAAAAAAAAAAAAAAAAAAAAAATCACGGGGGATCGAACCCGGTCCTACGGCGTGTGGAGCGGACGTCTTTCCCACTAAGCTACTGGGGCTTTTTTTTTTTTTTTTTTTTATTATTACATGAAAAAAGGACAGTAAAAACAATCAAGACACATTCTAACAGAGATATCCCTTATTTACATTCAAACTGACTGATAATGGTCACATGGAAATACGAAGAAAGGGGGCTATACTAACATATTTCGAATGGGGTCACATCTCTAAAAGTCGGGAAGATGAACACATTTGTCAAGAAGGGTATACCATTCTGGGCGTTTCTTGAGGTGGTCGTACACATTACGTACATGTGATACAGTTTCTATGAAATTGGACTTTGTAGACCGTGGAGGATCAGCATTTCTATCAATCATCCTTGTTTTCCAAAGGCTATGCAGACCCATCAATGTGAACAGGTCATAAGGAAAAGTATCATTTTGGTTTAAAGGCAAAAAACGTATCGTATATGCACAGATATTCAGGTCTTTCTTCAATGTCCTTTGTAGGACATCCCAAAACAAATAGGCGTCGGTGCAAAAAATAAAGCAATGTTCTATTGTTTCAGGCTGGTTGCACAAACGGCAGTTCACTGACCAAGGAACAAATATACCTTTTTCGCGCAGCCAAGGCTTTACCGGCAACGTTGAAGTGTGGAGCTTATAAAAGAATGACTTCGCTGTCGGTGAGACATGTAGCTTACACACACGTTTCAGGACGTCTTGTCCCGGGCCATTACTGAACATACTTTGGTACAGGGGTATAGGAAATAATGCATCGATGAGATCAACATATAAAGCTTTCCGCGACACTTTAAATAAGTATTCCAAGGAAAAACGTGCTTTAAGGAACTCTATTGAGCTCACAACCTCTCCGAGGTATCCCAATGGACGAGATGTGCTCGCAGGCACTGTTGTTACTACTAAATACGGCAACGCACTTGAAAGCGCTGCCTGCATGTAAGTTCGAAGGAAGTCATGAGACACAGTTCGGAAGAACAAGAAGCGTGATATAATTTGTTTTAAAAAGACGTGTAAAAGCCCGAGACCGCCTTGCTCAACGGAACGAAACAGGTTATCTCGTCTCATGGGCTCCCAAGTGGAACCCCATACAAAAGTTGCAAACACTCTGTGAAACTTCTGAATGTGGCCTCTAGTACAGCAAATCACCTGAAGTGCGTACCAAAGTTTTGCTGCTAAGAAGATATTACAGGCTTTCGCCCGTCCAAAGATAGACCACTGATTTACTTTCATTATTGCCGCTTGAGTTTTCATCTTTTTAACCCTTTCTGTCCAATAATGTCCATTGTTCCTAACGCAATTAAGGGGAGCTCCTAAGTACTGAGGGGCAATGCAGTTCCATGAAATGCCAGCGTACTTTGAAGGTGTTGTGGCCCATTGCCCGCACCAGAAGCCAGTACACTTTGCCTTGTTGATGAGCGCCCCAGTCGTGGAACAGAAGTTTTGAGCTAAAGCGAACACATTGTCTACGCTTCGTTTGTCCTTACAGAAGAACGCAATGTCATCCGCATAGGCCAACACTTTTACCTCTGTGGAGTAGAAACGGTATCCTTCTACATTTGGGCTATTTAGTACGCTTAGACATAGGGGCTTTAAGTATAGTGCAAACAAAAGGGGGGACAAGGGGCATCCCTGTTTGACAGATGACTCTAGACGAATTGGTCCCGACAAAGAGCCATTAACTATAAGCCTAGTGGTACAACTGCGGTAGCATATATTTATTCCTTTAAAAAGTGTTGGTCCTAAGTTTACGTGGCGGAGTATGTCGAATAGAAAAATATGGGAGACGCGATCAAAAGCTTTTGCTAAATCCACTTGAACCATAGCCACTTGATCTGCATGAGCACAACAGCTCTCTATTATTGTACGAGCTACATGTATGTTTGTCTGTATCGTTCTGCCCTTAATTCCACAAGTCTGGTGATTGCCAACAACGCTGGATGTGATGTATTGAAGTCGTTTTGTCAGAATTTTTGCAAAGATTTTGTAGTCCACATTGCAGAGTGTAATAGGGCGGTACCCTTCAAAATTTAGGAGTTTATCTGCCTCTTTACTTTTTGGGATTAAAACTGTATGGCTCTTATAAAAAGAAGGTGGTAGTGTTTCCTGCTCATACGCTTCCAGAAATACTTTAAGTAAAAACGGGCTTAGGAGGTCCTTGTATTCTTTATAAAACTCTGCTGGGAGTC